ATTGCTTGGCATCAGCTTCCTTGTTTCTGGCCTTCCAGTGTAGGTGTTTGGCAGTGCAGGGTGTGGTCATCTGTGCCAGGCAGGCATGAGCTGATTCGAAGCTATTAAGAAGAGTAAAATGAAATTCACAGGCAAATGGATGGAGCTAGACAAAAATCATTATCCATCCATCAATTGATGGACATCTAGGTTGTTTCCAGTTCCTGGCTATTATGAATAGAACAGCAATGAACATGAATGAGCAAGTATCTCTAGTAGTAGGATATTGAATCCTTTGGGTATATACCCAAGAGTGGTATAGCTGGGTCTTTTTGTTTTTGTTTTTGTTTTTTTTTTTTTTTTTTTTTTTTGTTGTTGTTGTTGTTGTTTTTGCTTTTGAGACATGCCTTCTTTATGTAGCCCTGGCTATCCTGAAATCCTATGTAGATCTGTTTCTAGTTTGCTGAGGTTCTGAGAAACTGCCACACTGATTCACTGATTTCCTTAGTGGCAGTATGAGTTTGTACTTCCATCAGCAATGAATAAGTACTCCCCTGTCCCTGAATCCTCGCCAGCATGTGCTGTCATTTGTTTATTGATCTTGGACATTCTGACTGGGGTAGGATGAAATCTCAAAGTAGTTATAATTTGCATTTCCTGGATGACTAAGGATATTGAACATTTCTTCAAGTATATCTCAGCCATTTATATTTCATCTTTTGAGAACTGTCTGTTTAGTTCTGTATCCCATTTTTGTTCATTCATTCATTCATTCACTTATTTTTTTGTTTTTCGAGACAGTGTTTCTCTGTGAAACAGTTCTGGTTGTCCTGGAACTAACTCTCTGTAGACCAGGCTGGCCTTGAACTCACAGAGATCTGCCTACCTTTGTCATCTGAGTGTTGGGATTAAAGACGTGCACCACCACCACCTGGTCTTGTATCCCAGTTTTAAATTGGGTTTTTCATTTTTTTGTTCTTTATATATTTTAGATACACTCTATTAGATGTGTAATCTGTAAAGACCTTTTCCCATTCTCTAGTCTGCGCTTTGCTGGAATGATGGTGTCCTTGCCATACAGAAGCTTTTTTTTTTTTTAAAGATTTATTTATTTATTTATTTATTTATTTATTTATTTATTTATTTATTTATTTATTTATTTATTTATTTATTTATTTATTATACAGTGTAATGTCTGCATGTATCCTTGCAGGCCAGAAGAGGGCACCAGATCTCCTTACAGATGGTTGAGAGCCACCATGTGGTTGCTGGGAATTGAACTCAGGACCTCTGGAAGAACAGCCAGTGTTCTTAACTGCTGAGCCATCTCTCCAGCCCCATACAGAAGCTTTTAAGCTTCATGAGGTCCCATTTATTAATTGGTAGTTTTAGTGTCCATGCTGTCAGTGTGAAGAGACACCATGACCAAGGCAACTTTTAAAATAGAGAATTTAATTGGAGGCTTGTCTACAGTTTCAGAGGGTTAGTCCATGAGCATCATGGCAGCAGGGAGTGTGGTGGCAGGTGGGCAGGCATGGCTGCTAGAGCAGTAACTGAGAGCTTGTATGGCTTGCAAGTTGTAGGCAGACTGGGCCTTTAAATAAAGTTAAATAAAACTTCAAAGCCACCCTGTTCCCCCACAGTGACATACCTCCTTCAGTAAGGCCACACCTACTCCAAGGCTTTCCCAAACAGTTCCACTAACTGGAGACCAATCATTCAAATGTAAGAGCTTATGAGGACCATGTATAGGCTCATTCAAACCACCACACTTTGGAAGTGTTATGGAGTCAGGGAGGTAAGGTGATGCAGGGTTGGGGTATGGCTGACCTCAGCCGATTGTCTTGAGTGTTAGCACCTTGTCCCGGGTGCACTGTTGTGTCCCTGGAGTTGACCAGCTTTCCTCACCTGAATCAGCAGCTCTCCACTCTCTGGGCCTCTAAAGATCTGCTGAAAGCTTCCTGTCCACTCCAAGCTTTAGGTCCTTCTGCAACCTGGCATAAGCTGTGTGCCAGCCTATATTTGGTGTGTCTAGTAGCCTTGGTAGCATCTTCCTGAGGGCCCTGTCTTCCCTGCAGGTGCTGAAGGTGGCCATCCTAGCTGAGAAGTATGCAGTGGACTACACTTGGTATGTGGACACCATTCTCAACCTCATCCGCATCGCAGGCGACTATGTGAGCGAAGAGGTGTGGTATCGTGTCATCCAGATTGTCATCAACCGGGATGATGTGCAGGGTTATGCTGCCAAGACAGTGTTTGAGGTATGGGGGAGAAGAGTGTGCACCCTCACTGGGGCCAGTGGTGTCTGAGCTTGAGGGGACAGAGATGGGCCTCAGTGGTGTTGATTTTCTTCCTTCTTGGTCTCAGTAGTGGTTATGCCCTTCTTGAGCTAATGCCCCCGCCAAGCTGCAGCTTGCTGTCACCCTAATCTCCAAAACCATATTAGGGCTGATGGGGCTGTTGAGCAACCTACGTGCTATCCTATGCATGAGGGACATCATATGTCTGCTGTATCTCAGGCCTTGCTGTTGGGCCCTTTGCTGTTGGCACTGCAGCCAGCTGCAGGAAGCCAGGGTCTGCCAAGGCTTTAGGAGGAAGCTCTCTTGACTTTAGAATACACCTTTCAAGGAAAGACCCAGCTGTCTTTGTTGTAGCTTCACTTTGTGCCAGCTGCCTGTTCTGTGGCCTACCTCCTGGTGTTCCCTGTTTCACAGGCATTGCAGGCTCCAGCGTGTCATGAGAACTTGGTCAAAGTGGGCGGCTACATCCTAGGGGAGTTTGGAAACTTGATAGCTGGGGACCCACGTTCCAGGTAAAAGACCCCAGGGAACCAGGGATATGCACTGCACTGGACTGCCCTGCTCTCCACACTGCTTTGACATCCTGAGGGAGGAGGCAACCCCTACACTGGGAGCTGGCAGTGTGTCCTCCTTAAGGAGGCCCTGCTTTAGCATAGGGTCCCCACCGCAGGTGCAGGCTGAGCACAAGGCAGCGCGTGAGACAGATGAGATAGTGTGACTCCCGTCTGTGCTCTCTGCCCCTCTCAAGCCCTCTGATCCAGTTCAACCTGCTCCACTCCAAGTTCCACTTGTGCAGCGTCCCCACCCGGGCACTCCTGCTGTCCACCTACATCAAGTTCGTGAACCTCTTTCCAGAGGTAAAGGCTACCATTCAGGACGTGCTGCGCAGTGACAGTCAGCTGAAGAATGCAGATGTGGAGCTGCAACAGCGGGCTGTGGAGTACCTGCGGCTGAGTACTGTTGCCAGCACGGACATCCTGGTGCGGGCTCCGGGCTGGGCTGTTTGGTGCGGGGGCCGCTGGGCTGGTGCTGGGTGCCAGGGTGGCCACACCAACCTCTAGTCTTTTCAATAGGCAACTGTCCTAGAGGAAATGCCACCCTTCCCTGAGCGTGAGTCCTCCATCTTGGCCAAGCTGAAGAAGAAGAAGGGCCCGAGCACAGTGACTGACCTGGAGGAGAGCAAGCGTGAGCGAAGCCTTGACGTGAATGGGGGCCCTGAACCCGTTCCAGCCAGCACCAGTGCTGCGGTGGGTCCCTGCCACTGTGTACCTGGCGCCCATCAGGGCCTCATGTCCCAGGGTTGGGAATGGCAGGGCTGGTGTCTGGGAAAGCTTGTGGGTAGGTACTCACAAGTGGAGTCCAGCGCTGGACATGTGGTCAGGTGTGCCCCTGAACCTAGGGTCCACAGGGCAGCTATTCTATGAGGCGAGCTTATGGCTTCTTGGGACCAGGCCAGGACCTGTGGCTGTCTGTGATGACTTATTTTTAGACCTAGACTCCACACTTCTGTAGGAGAGCTGGTGTGTGTTCTCTATAGATGTAGAAGGGTTTGCCTTCTTCCTCTGGGAGGTTTCCTGTAGTGACTGAAGTAGAGCAAACTTCCTCTTGATGTGGCACAGTGAAAACATTCCTGTGGGTGGAAGAAGTGGGAATGCCGTTGGAGCGGTACTGTCTTTCTCCAACTAAAACAGGACTAGAAATATGGTCTTGTGACCACTGGAGCTGTGACCTGGGCTGCTGTAGATGTGCTTCATCAGATGCTGTGATCCCAGGTTTTTCTAGTTCTTCTCTGACCAGCCTCGCTGTGACCCTGTCCCCTTTGGGAGGTGAGGGGTA